TCTTCTTCTATTTTCTGAAATAATTTATGTAGAATAGGTAACAGTTCTTCTCTAAATGTTTTATAAAATTCACTTGTAAAACCATCTGGTCCCGGGCTTTTCTGACACACAAAAGCCCATTGCAGCAGTCACTGTGTCAATCCACTTTGTCGGCTGTCCTCCTCTCCTTCACTGACCCTGTATCCTTCCCAGCATCATATCTTTCTCAAAGGAATAGGACCTCCTAACATCATGCCTAAAGTATGTGAAACAAAGCCTCATCATTCTTGCTTCCGGAGAGCACTCTGGCTACATCCTTTCCAAGACATACCTCTTTGTTCTCTTGGCTGTCCATGGGATAGTCAGTGGTCTTCTCCTGCAGCACAGATCAGAGGTGTCAATTATTTTTCTGTCGTCCTTATTCATTATCCAGATCTCAGATGCATAGCAAGTAATCAGAAACACTGTGGCCTAAATCAGAAACATCTTAGTCCTCAAACTGACATCATTACTAGAGTTGTACCTAAATACAGATTTCCCCTCTGCAATAGGTCTCTTTATTTCCTGACTACTGATACCAAGAGTGTTAATTGTGGATTCAAGCAAGATGAAGCTGTTGACAGTTTCAATCTCCTCTCCATCCATCATGACACTTTCTATAGTACTGCCTAAATAATGTTATGTATCCTTCCATATGTTTCCTCCATTTGTATTAGTTTTCTCTTTCAAAATATCTCAATTAAAAAGAAAGAAATGACTTAAAACCTAGTAGATTTTTAGCAATCAGTTTTTCTTTGTCCTACTATATTTTCCTATTTTTGTTGTTTTGGTAAATTAATATTTTTTGTAGCGTGCCATTTACAATATTTCTCTTAAAATACTGGAAATTTCTTTTTTAAAAGCATTATTATTTTTTTTAATTCAAAGTCTTTTGATTTATTTGAGGTAAAAAAAGTGATTTTATCCCATTCCTGAGTCTTTGAATCTGGCTAATATAGAAGGGTATTCCTATCTAAAATGATATAAAACAAACTTTTTAGATTAGCATCTTAACTTTACCTTTTCTAATTTTTATGA